TCCGTTTTGAGCAGAAGCACCCCCTCATAGGTTGGAAAAAGCCATCAGTGGTCGTAGGTATAATTCGTCTTGTTGGTAGCGAAGCGCAGGCAACGCGTGCATCAAAGACACTCACGGATTGTGTTGCTTCTTTTGCAGTTTCAGCCGGCTATATTTTATTTACCATCCAACAGGAGGTTCCGTCTTTTAAAGAATTCTATATGCGTCTTAACAGCTTGTATACTCCTCGAACAGACGGAGGCTGGTTACCCTATCACTAAGCCACGTGATTTCTCAGACACGCTAGTGATGGCCCGATTTGCAGACGGCAGGGGCTTTACTTTGGAGGAAATATCTGAAGAAGTAAATACCTTCATGTTTCCCGGCCACGAGACCATGACCGCTTCTTTGACATGGTTACTGTACAACCTGGCAAAGTATCCCCATCATCAGACGAAGATTAGGGAAGAAGTGAAGGAGATTTTGGCCGATAGAGACTCGGACGGAATAACGAGGTAGGCGGTTTGAGTAGTTTAGGCCTACTGGAAAGATCCACACGCGAATCGTGTGAAAATGGAACGTCTCTGACGAGAAAAAGAGCCTCTTAAAGTAACAACTGTGAAAACCCGTGATAAGTTTCATTCAGAACATCAAAGGAAGAATTTTATAGGCCTAATTCACAAGTATCGTGCATTGGGGCAGGTAGTATCGATGCTTGGGTTTTGACACAGACAGCTGGTTCAGACCGATCATGATAATCGCATTGCTGCCATCACAGTAATCTGTGTACACCTCGGAGTTCAGTGTGTCTAAGGGTGTGACTTGCACCGTAGTCCTTGTTGCAAACGAACTGGCTGGACTGAGACCTTCGTTCCGTAATCACTGAATGGCACATCGCTGAGGTTCCATTCATTTAACCATGAGGCTATATATGCATCGTTTATATATGCTTGCAATATCACGTGTTCTGAACATTTGATTCGAAGCACAGTAATTAACAAACTAAATATCATGTAACATATTGCTTTTTATTCCATGGTATTCAATTTTAGCAAGGACCTCAGCCGTATGGAGTATATGACTCTTGTCATCAAGGAGTCCATGAGAATGATGAACGCAGCACCGATGATCAGTCGCACCGTGACAGTTCCCTACAAAGTGAACGGCGTTACAATCCCTGCTGGATCCATGGTATTTCTCAGCATTCACCAGCTCCATCACAACCCGAGTGTCTGGGGCCACGACCAGATGGAGTTCAAGCCCTCTCGGTTCCTGCCCGAGAAACTCTCCCGGATGGACTCCTTCGCCTACGTGCCGTTCTCAACCGGAGCGAGGAATTGCATTGGGCAGCAGTTCGCCTTGAATGAGATGAAGGTGTTTTTGGGTCGAATCCTGAGGAGGTTCCGTCTGAGTCTGGTTGACGGAGAGCCAGAGCCGGGTCCATAGATGAACCTCGAACAAACCAATAGAAACTAAATCTCGAATACAGTGAAAATTACAACTTTCCATCTGTTGTCTTTCCACCCTGATTGCTATCAGGTAACTGAATATGTAGTTTATACTGAAGCTGCTTTAAAACATTTGTTCCAGTGGTGCACTGAGTTGATTTGCGTTACGGTTGCAATGTGAGGACCAATAATTTGCAGTTTCTGCCGTGTACGTACACAGTCTAAAGTAATAAAGTTGTGATAATCTGTTCATTAAAATGTCTCTTTAATAATTACTTGTGGTGTCTATGTTATGATACTGATAAAGTAGGTTTTCATTGATTACAGAATTAAGAAAAAATAATACTGTTCACGTTGTGATTGTGTGTCGAAATGATAATTTCAAATAATTTGTAAATAAATGTAAATAAATGGAGGCAAATTTAGACAGAATATAAGCTTGCTTTACAATGTCTTGAAGACTTCCCCGAATTTAGGGTTTGTTTTTCTGACTCTCGGTAGTTAGCTTTGAAAAACATTTATAAATATACTTTTGCTAGTTTTTGTTTGTTCGAAACTGTAGGAAATAATAGTTATGTCATGTAGCTCATTTTTTAGTTTATTAAAGGGAGAATATTTGGGAAAAATTATAATCTCGACATTTATATGTTTTGATAGAGTTAGTTATAGATACCTTATTTACCTGCATTTAAGATTCTAAAAGCACTAGGGGTAGCCTTTTGGTTCATGGTTACAAAACGCAACTTGCACGAGTTTAGCGTAGAATTGTTAAAATATCATTTTACTTTATAACCCTCCTTGAAAATGACACACCTGAGGAATATTTGGCGTTCATCCCTTGCCATCCTTAAAGGCATGCAGATATTGGTCTTAGGCTGTCTTAAAACAACGACACTTTAAAGGAGCATTGGTGTATCTTTTGCGAGACTTGTTTCCATTATTAAAGGAATTGACCTCGGCAACATTTCAGCAGCCTTACATGTACTCCCATCTTCCCGGGGAGTTGACGTTTTCAGAAAAAAATTGACGAATCTCCAATTCCCCCTTATTAAAAACCTGGATAAGGAAGAATGTTGTTTTGATTGTTGCTACTAGTGTATACAAAATAATTACCATAGAACCTGTATTTTCCTTCTTAATAACTTTTAACTACTTTTAGATATCAATTGTTTCAGATTGTAAGGCCCTTTTCAGGGTTGTAGTTTTAACTTTTTCATTGAATATACAATATCAGCAACTGGAGTGTAGAGGCAGAGTGTGGGCTTTGGTGGAATTAAAGCGAATTGTACATTTTTCTTGGGAACTCGTTTTTCCTTTTTAACGCCCTGTAGAGTTGAAATGGATCTGAGGTTGTCAGTGAATACTAATTAAAATGGTCACTATTTTTGCTTGATCCCTGGATGAATGTTTTCCATTACAATAAGCAAGTATTGCCTACCGTGTGCTAATGCTCACAATACACAATTGACGCCGTCGTACGAAAACGAAAAAAAAATCCAAATTACAAAAATATCATATGAACATTAAGCTAATCTAGTTGTGCGAGATGATTTTCCCTACAGGTTTTCAGCAGCCGTAATCATGTATTTGGGCTCGTTTCCAATGATATTCTGAGAATACACTCAAAGGTATGTGAATGTATAGAAATTTAGACGAACAATATCGGAGGTAAAAGTTTATAATTTGTGAGACAAGTTGCATCAAATATAATACAATTAATATGCTTGATTCTCTTTTTTGCATTACGTTTACAAGTCAAACACATGAAATCTCGGGCGATTGTGGCAAGAATTAAAAAAGTATTAAGCCATTTGCATTAAAGACAATCAAAATAATCACATATTTTAATTAACACTTGTACAACATTTGAAGTTATTGTTGCTCTTTTCATTTATTTTCATGTGTAGCTGTTTCAGGCTGAATATGCTGTGGAGGTAATGACAGATAGATCCGGTTTCATTCATGGATATGATGCTTTCTAGTCTACTGAGGACTTGGTTACTTGCCTACAAATGGAATACTTATTTCATAACAAGCCATCACTTTCAGGATTCATTATTCGTTGTATGGCTCAGCCAAAGAGATAATGGCCTCGCCGGCTTTGAATCGTTCAGTGGTTGATTCATACGATAACTAGAGTCGTACCGACTGAGTTAACGATTCGACTGAAGTCCAACTCGAGTCTTTCCAGTAAAAAAAAAGAAAACGTGTCCTCAGGCTCAGCAGGCATTATATGTGTATTAACAAAATGTCAAGAACAAACAAACTTAACCTTTGACAAAATTGCAGAGCTCAGGTAACTGTATGGCGTGGGGACTAGTCTTATGATACCGTAATGCGATTTCCAATGTTCAGGGTGAAATGCATATTTTCCGCACGGTCGTGCAATAATTCTCGGACAACGAAGATACAGTAGTACATTTACAAATCAATGATGACCTTGTTAAGCAGTTCTTATGGATACAAGAAAGTGTGAGTTGGAAAATTACTCAACAAAAGTAAAAATTGATGACAATCATAAGATTCGCAAAGAAGAATTTATTTGCTCAACACGATCGGGGAATAATGGCAAAATGTGATTATAGGGATGAAACAAACCATTTTTCTCATTTTCCCAAGGATTGACCTCTGGTGAACTCATAAATTGGAAAGTAATCGATTATTGAATAACCGACAGCTGAATATTTAGTAATAACTGGTAAATATTCAGCCCAGCTTGGGCCTTTGCGACCATTGGCGTAAATCCTGGAGTGGTGGAGGCATTATCCCCCATGGGAGATGGGCTATTGAATCATCCCCCTCTTATTTTGGGGGGTTAGAAAAGTTCTAGCGGAATGTGAAGAATTTTTCGGACTCCACAACAGCCAAAGTGCATTCAATATCACTCAAAAAGGAATAATTAAAAAAGCCAATAATTTGGCAGTTCTGATGTAAGATTCTGCATAAATTTAATCCATATTTTAACAAACCCCCCAACATGAACATCACCTCTTATCTAGTATAATGTGGAGTTAGCACCCCCCCGCTTTTCATGGCCAGGCAAGTGAGCCCCCCTCCCTAGTTACCCATCCATCGCCAACAATTTCCAGCATAAACTTACACTGTTTGCGACGTTTTCTGAAATCCACTTTTTATTAGACGCTGTGCACGTACATGTATGTTTCACCCCCATTCAACGTGTGGAAATTAACGACTTCGGCCGAGCGCGGCGGTTACTTGACCGAACCCTCGTGAACCATACGGAAATGTCCTAAGCTACTTGCCAATCCTCTGTGAGCTCGTTTTGAAGACTTCGTTTGCACAAAGTTTAACAAACGATCGCATTGAAACTCTCTGTATGTGCTCTAGAAGGCTTAAACCGAATAAAACATGAAATTTATCCTCAAAATGGTTGCTGAGATGATAATTTATTTCCATTTTCATTCGCTCACTTGGACTTTTTTCCCACTAAATTTCTCAATTTTAGAAGTTTTCCCCGAACAGTGGGACACTGCATACGACAGACCAGAACTTCAACTGCACAATACAATCAGTTCTTTGTAGCTAGATTTTTTTGTTCGACTTTCATAAGTTATATTTGATACTTCTGCGCAGCGCGATCAATACGTGTTTTACATGCACAAAACCGATCCAGCCGCGTACCGTGCATAGTACACTGCGGCTTGTTCTACGCGTATCGCGGCGTACACCTGTGCATGTACATGTACATACATGCACATGTACAGTACATACATGTACAAGTGTATGAAAATTCTCGACGGAGCCGGTGTACATGTTTATGTGGTTCATGCATATATAGTACATGTTAAACTGGGGAAATATACCGTGAATTTCAACATTTTCGTAGCAATTTTATGACAGATAGACCTCGGTTTCAATGATAAACTTCCTGTTAACTTACTGTACTTTTGAGTTCGTCTTTCGTTCCCGAGTCACTGAATTCTTTCGCTTTGCGTGGCCGTCCGTAAGATTATGCGGGATGAAATGAATCGGTGCTGAGTTAGGTTGATATGCAAACGCGTCTGGTCGGGAAGAGAAAAAATGTAGCGCAAAATCGTAAGCAAATCTAAAACCTTCACATCTTTTTCCACCTCAGCCCACTTTTGAAAACTTTAGGAAAACTTCGAATCGAAAAGAGCTTTTCACAAAAATCACTAATTTTGACCATTCTGGTACTACTTCCCAATTTTATTTTCACAAAACACGTTAGGAAAAGGTCTTATCTTACCATGGGGATTTTTGGGCAGGAATTTGTACTTCCAAAAAGTGAAAACAAGACGCAAATTTCATGAAATGAAGAAGCTGGTTGCCTGGTGCGAATTCCCATGGCCCTCATTACGCATTCAAATGACCCTAAAAGCGGGACATGCGCAGTTAACAATTTCCCTCTGAAACATACGTGTGTGGAAATGTGATTGTCACGCGCACGTCAGTGCCAGTATGGAATTCATATCTGCCGTCGCGCGTCGCCAGTCGTGTGTTGCCCGTCGTGCGTCGCCCGTCAAATGGGTTGCATAGGACCTGCAAAAGCCGGGGTTTAACAAATGACAATGTGATGATTTCATTCACTTCTAAGGATCTTTTCCCAATAAGGCAAGTACAAATCCCACCTGCAAAGCATATACTAGTCCCATAATTAATGCCAAGAATGCTAGACTACCCCTGCCCCTTGACAAAAAAATATCGCCTTTCTGAGAATTCAACCAAGTGTTTTTTGGGGAAAAACATGTCCAGCAAAAATGTTCAGGCCAACTTATCCACGTAGAATTCCAATCTGCATACTGTAAAAATGTGCCGACTTGTTTGCATTAAATTCTAGACAGAAATCTGCCAACCGATACAGGTATTCCATTTTGTCCTCTCGATTTCACCTTGAAATCCAGAAATACTAGACAGTGCTGTGGATAACAAACTGTTTATTAAATGTATTGTTAGGGGGTAATTACCAC